TAGGAAGAAGAAACTGAGTTTATTTTTAAATTAATGAAAACCTTAAAAGATAGATAAATAATTTTAAATGCTTTTATGTAAATTTTTATGTAAAAAATAAAAATTAATCGTGCAATTTTATGTCATCTTAAACAACTTTTTGTCATTTATTAGAATGCGTGGCCTTGCAATTTTGAAAAAGGCATTTATTTGCAATCTGAAAAAGGCTGAATTTAATTATATTCGTAAAGGTCTTAATTCATATTTAGAAGTCGAGTTACATCATCAGTTTTATATACGTTTTGTATATAATCGACCCACTTTTAGTCTTACTCCGAACCACAGCGCTTCTAGTGAGCAAAAGAAGCTCCAGGGAGAAAATTTTGCTCTGCTCCCCAACCAGTTTATCTAATAGCCATGATAATAAACATTGGTGTTCTGACCTTGTACTTATAAACCATGGTCTAAGACCTCTGTGGAATATTCTAGCTCGTTGGGCTATACAAAAAACTCTCTCGAAAATATGGTGTTACGTTATAACTTATAAGAAATGACGAAGAAAAATCATTAAAATTAAAAATAAAAGTATCAAGCAAATTGCAAATCATTATCTGAAAAAAAATGGATTTAGATGACGATTTGTCTGATGTTTGAAAGACATTTGTAAATCCAAGTATTCACTTGTGGCAAAATGTTAAATATAATTGTCTATTGGACAAACGTATGTATAAAACATACGGTAAAACATTATTCTTCATTCTAAAAAATTAAGCACCTCTTAATTAATTTTTTTCTGTTTTTTTAGATGTCACAAAACCATTAATACCATCTCCGAAAATAAGGCCCGTAACAAAGGACTAAAATCAATAGAATGTCGAAAATATATACTTAAATATAAGTAAAAAATATATATAGGGTGTCTGAAAAGTCTCCATACATACAAAGCTGAAATGTAAACTTCACTCACAAAACATTGAAATGTCAGCATTAAGTTTTGTATCAGTGGATTGACGGAGTAAAGTAACGGAACAAACACATAGGTGATCTGCCAATGAGACAACTTCTAGCAACTTTCTTCCTATGTGGAAACTAGATTCTGTTTAAGCGTGAGAGACACAACGAAAATCCAGAACAGTGCATGTGACCAGCCCAATGGTCAGGCACGAATCAGTAACCAACTACTAGTGTTTAATGGTTTTATTTATTCGGCCGCTAATGGACTTCATTTGTGTCAATGTATGGCGACTTCTGGGACACCCTGTATTTGTTAAAATAATTTCTACAGTTGTGCTTAATATGTAAAAACACTTCACATAAAGATTGTTCCACAAAGCCGATATTTGAATACACCGATAGAAAAATGATTTCATTATGCTGTAAAACATTTTATCTTTACAGTCGTTTACCATATTAACACTTTTAGAATAAATTATTACTTTATTGTTCGTAAATAGGTTATGAATGTCCCGTTTTAATTAATAAAAGTTTATTTTTTCTAGAATGTTTCTAAATCTAGTTAATTTAATAAGACGCGATAGGTTTAAATTTAACTTACCAAAGATGAGAACCGTGATAGTTGGAAACTTAAAATTGTAAATAAAACCACGAAAATTATCAAAAAAATACAAAATACAAGACGCATTATATTATCAAGATCAAACAAAAACACTGCGCAGAAGATGAAACTTGTCTCATATACTCCGAAACAATATGCAGCTGGAAGATATGCTTCAAAAACTAGGTTTAGTTCTTGCAGATAAGTCCATAAATTCCAATGAGTTTCGATCAAGGTTTCAATTTTAGTATTTAAGAAATTTTCTTCTTTTCTCAATTTATCGACGACATTAGATAAATACCTGAATCTTTTAGAGATAATGACGGCCCATGCTCCTATAACAAGTATACAGCAATCTAATTGTCCAATTACATAAATGCACATTAATGTGATATTTAGATTACAGAATGCCAGCTCAAACTCTGAGTCAGTTATTTTCTTCAAAGTAGGATAAAGAAACAAGTCAATTACAGTAATCACTGAAATTATTGAAAAAAATAAAACTGTAAAGCCATAAATAAAAAATATCTGAATCACATCTGTCATTTCTTCTTCTCCTTCATATCCACTGTTATATCTAGGTAAATAAAGCCTCTTCCTTTTAAAGAAACTGAATTGAAATACTGTAAAAATACCAAATGTAACTAAAATAAATTTTATGAGTATTTGATTCTTAGGAAACATTCTGATCCATCCGACACACACCAAATTGTCTGTTATCTCTTGAGTAATAAGTACTAAATTAGTCCACATAAATATTTCTATAGCTGTTTGGTATAAAGGATATAACTTCGACAGATATTTCCATTTTTTGGCAGATTTCTTACAATCGCAGTACATAATTTTAATTCCAAATATCTGGAATGTTACGAGAACTGGTCGTAGAAAACATACAATGCACAAACTGCACTTTGGGTAACCTGGATACATGTTTTACTTTTAGCTATAGAAAGCAGAATGAAATTACTAAAAATTTTAGACTTGGATTCAACTTCAGTTCTGCGGCTCTATTGCAACATATTTCTCTAAATAAACGAAATGCAGGTTTTGTTAAAATAGGAAACATTTATGAATAAGGTATTACGAAAACACTTGAATTGTGCTGTATTACAGTCACGTGACTGAAATTGCTTATCAAATGTATTATGCCAATGCCTTAAAATCATGTTATTTTTTGAAGATTTAAATATTTTGATGTAAATATTCTAATTATCATTTATCTTCTATTTCGCTTGTTACAACACAATTGAGTCAACTTCAAATTTCTGGAACCTTGGAAAATTTAAAATAAAACCAGATACTTTAAGAGATCGATATTGTGCATTTCCTATTATACTATTGAAGGCCACGGATGTGGTTTAAACACGTGTCTGCGATTCAAACAGAAATCAATGGTTTGCGTAATATCCTATTCAAATATCTTTTCCCTTTTAAGAAAATTTGCATTTGTTTATTTTAGGGCTGCGGATATTTACGATAAATTAGAGAGTTAACTTAATCGTTTAAAATTTTAATTGAAATAAAGTTTGTATTTTGTTGAATTAAACCAGGATTTTGTTTAGATCTGATAATATTGGTAATGATGAATACAACAAATAATAATAATAAATTCGTAAAAAGGCTAAAGGAAAGAGTAAATTAAAACTTAATCTATAAACATTGCTCTTTTTACATATTAAATTAGTCTGCCCAAACTACAACTTTATGGCCGTACCAGGCACACGCAAACATAGTTGACAATAAATCATAACTTTTTCTGAAACTATTTCTGCCCAGCGGGCACAGAGAGGATCTCTTTTAGCAAGCTCATCAAGGGGTTTGGCCAAGTCGACAATGAAATGGCGGTTGATTACCAGAAGTTAATTTTAGTTTTTTAAATAAAACATAATATAAAATATTATTGTATGTTTTTATAATAATATTTTAAAAAGCAATGATGATCAATACTCCGATCACTCAATTCGATTTTTATTTTTATAAAGAAAAGTCCTGCTACTGAGAATGTCTTTTCCGATTCAATTGATGTGGACGGAATTGTCTTTAATGCAACTAAGAAAAGACAGATGTTATGTGTTTTTCCACGTGTAGCCTCGATGATTTATAGTTCGTTTTAGAGATGCGTTGCAGTACTTTTTTTGCTGTCTGGTATTCTTGATTTGTCTACCTCGGATGCTTTAATAACGGCATCAAGCTCATAGTCCAAGAATTCGGCAGCTCGTTTTGGCTTTATTAATCAGGTTTATGAAAAAACTTAATACTTGCATACTTGATACTCGTCTGTATTCTTGTCCACTTTGCACAACCTGAAATAATGTAGTTATTGAAGCTATTGGGCACGGTTAGAAATCAATTATTCCAGATATTACAGGTTCTGAGAAGTACAGAATTTTCAGAGTTTTGCCACAAATAGGCTACCTATTTATTATTAATAATCTGTGACATACCACAACAACAAAATTTAGAAAATTAATAAGCAGTCCTAAAATTAATAAATAAAAGTGTATTCTGAAAGTTAATGAGTTAATTATACTTTCTACTTGCAAAATATCCTCAACCTTAACACAAAATAAGAAAAAAGTGAAGGTTTAAAAAATTTGCGGGATTTTCCGGGATCAGAAGAATTTCCCGGGTTAAAAAACAGCTGGGATACCGTTAGACAAACCCCACTAGATACTTAACAACGCCGGAAGGCCGAGTGGTCCAGGTGGCAGCCTACCGCTATGGGGGACCCGGGATCGAAACCGGATGGGTGAAGGAATTCCCAGGAATTTTTCGGGGGGTGGTCCGTTCGGATATGTCGGGCCCTGTCCCTCACCACTCGGTTGCCCCAATGTGGGCCTGGTCGAACCCATAATGGGCCTGCTATAAGAGGCCCTGTTAGTGCTCACAGGGTGGTAAGAGTATAAAAAAAGTTACTTAATCGACCTTATAGAAAAATTTTCGGTTAGTAACGAATATTTCTATTATAATTTTTTCATCAGTAAAAAAGTTTACTGTGATAAAAGTGAATAACTAATTTAAAAATAAAACGAAATCTTAGAGCTTTCTTAGAAATTATAAAAAGAACATGCGGACAAGAGAGGGGAAGACGTGCCTCAAGTGCTCGAATGTACCAGCGCCTCTGCCATTCATTTGCTTCAGGTGTAGATGTTTGCTCTTAGACGAATGAATTAAATCCATTCGTCTAACAGCAAACATCTAATCCACTTAATTAAAGCCTCGAGCTACTGTCATAGAAAATTTGTGATCAAATCCGTGTGAGTAACCCCACGAATTTTTCACGAGTAATCTGTTCCGAATATGTCGGGCCATTCCATTTGTGGGCCTGAACAAATGTACGAAAGAATGGTATAAAATATTTCTCTTAGTGAACACAAGGCAGAAAAATTATAACAAAAACTTTAATTTTCTATTAAAATTCGTTTTCTCTAAACGACGTCATAATAAAAACTATAACAATTGGCAATTTTATTGTTACGAATTATTATCAAATTGAATCTGTTTCCAGCTGTTCACAATTATGGGTTCTCAGAGAATCGAACTCCTATCCTCAGACGGGGGTAAAATATTCATTTCCGAATCCACTTTTGATAAAATCCGCAATGAGCAGCTGGAATTTATAATCGAAAGTGGAAAAAGTTCGAGGATTCTTAAATTCCCGTACCCAACAGAAGTTGTCGCTCGGGTTGTTAAGTAAGAATATCTTAATATCCTATATCTTAGTTAATCAAAATAAAAATATTTGAATTTTCATAAATATGTTTTATATTTATCTTGCAGCTATTTGGATAAAGCTGACCCTCAGATAAAATCTTTGAACAACGGTTTCCAGTTGTATGACTTGAGCAAAAGTTATGGAATTAAAATGTTAAGCACAATATGCGAAAAGTACACTATCGATCAATTATGTGAAAAAAATGTGTGCGAAATTCACGATTTCGCCTGCAAAATGTGTCTCACTCAGATACAACATCGTTGCTGGGAAATTTTCGATACGTATTGGTCAGAGATATTCGAGGGAGAAGATTTCAAATCCTGTGATATAGCGACAATTGACAGGTTAGTGTCTCGTCCATTATATACAAGTATGAACGAAGTAGATATATGCTTGGTCGTATACAAGTGGATTGAAGAGAAGATCAAAAGGGAAATGGGAACATCATTTGTTGAAATGGATGAAACCGCGAAGAAACTGAAATATCGAGAAGAAATGAGACCGTTTCTTAAAAAAATCAGATTATTAGCCATGGACAAGGAAAAATTAATAAATAAAATATTCAAACTGGGTTTGTTTAGTAGAGAAGAAGAAATATCCATTCTCCTCGCTAAAGAAATTAAAAATTTTTCCAATTACCCGAGTGATTTCAGCAAAATAACAAACGACAGATGCACAAGCAAATATTCAAATTACTCAACTCTATTTGATTTTAAACATAAAAATGAATTTCCTCGTGTATCTACAGACAGCAAAAAGCCATTTACGTATTTCAGCACCGAGGTATTTGTGAAGGAAGATTGTTTCGTCACTAATCTCAACCTTCCCATAACTCTTAACAGTAAATACGTACCAGTACATATTTATGGCTACGTAAATTCGTTAGAAAATGGTCTTTTTCATTTTGAATCTTTCTGCAACTCCCTGGGAAAAGTACATTTGGTTGAAGCCATATTCGTTGGGAAAAATTCCACTTGTCGTCTGTCCGCAGTTTTTGATCATAAACATTGGCTGGATCACAGAATAAACTTATTTTTACCATATGCAGAAACTTTTGCTACTCCCGAACAATCCGAGGATGTGTTATTCGAACAAAAGTTAATCGAAAAAAGAATAATTAAAAAAGAAAGTGATAATTTTTACTTTCCGGTCTATTTGTATTTTTGAAAGCAATGGATAAATTCTCTCACTGTTTTAAATTGGAACAACAATATGAAAATTAATTTACAAACTTGAGGTTACTTTTTAATGTTAAATTTCATTTTGATTAATTGCTAAATTTCTTTCCGTTTAACAAAATTAATTAATAATTTATAAAAATGTTTTTTTAAATAAAGTTCGTTTTATATAAATATTTTCGAACTTTTTTCAATTTTTACACTTATCGCTCAGGCAGGCATTAACGAGGACTTTTCAATCATTTCCACCAGACTGAAAATGGTGAATTGTTAACACTTCATTGTTAATAATTAAGGAATACACTTCTTTCATTCCCACGTGGGTACCTACTAAAACGATGTTAAAAATAAAAAAAATGCATCTAAAATAGTACAGCAGAAGCTGAGTTCTTTAAGATAAACCTTAATCCTTTTCCTCTCCCCTGCGGGGAGAATTTCGAAAAATCCCTTCTTAGTGTATGCTTTCATGAGGTACCCTAACTGTGTATTAAATTTCAACTTTCGACTCCTAACCGTTTGGGCCGGATGATTCGACTCCTAACCGTAATTATTATCATTATTATTATTATCATTATTACTCCATCTCGATTATATTATAAGAAGATTTATGTGTGCTCCAGCGCCATTTATTGACGGACTTTTGTACTGTTTTTTTAATTTAAAAAATGCCTTAAATTTAAATTTAAAAAAAATTTAAAAAATTTTAAAGTGCATCATTTCAATTATCTGTAGTCCGAATTTTGTTTCATTCCGAACAGTAGAACGTACTGCAGAGCTCTCTGAAGTGGGAAACTTATTTCTTGCTAACTCTGTATCTCTGTATTATGCTGGTCTGATACCCGAGCAGTCAAGGTGACAGCCTACCGCTCTGGGAAACCCGGAATCGAATCCGAACCTGTCGAAAAATTCTGAGAAATTTTTCGGGGGCTGTCCGTTCGAATATGTTGGAATCTGTCCCTCACTACCCGGCTGCCCCATTGTGGGCCTGGCCAAATCCATGAATGGCTTGCTAACAGATGCTTTCTTAGTGCCCACAAGGCAGAAAGAGTGAAAACCAAAAAAAAGTTATAAGTTCAAAAATATTTTGTCTAACTTGAACGTTTTTGGTTATCATTCTTTCCACCTTCTGGGCACTAAAAAAGCCTCCTTTATTTTTTAGTATCCACAAGGCTTTAAGGTATTTCAAATCCTTTTAGTGCCTCGAACTCCTAGGCTTTATGGTATTTCAAAATCCTTCTGACAATTCAATCTTTCATCCCACTACAACTGACAACATGACTCTTGACTGGTGACTAGCTATTGTTTGCTATATAATATATTTTGTAAAATAATATTAGTTCTATATTTTTACATCTTCGTTCACAGGCCCCATATTCTGTTTCTCTGGGACGTTAGTTATTGTTGCTAAAGTTTAAAATATCTGAGTGAGATAGTTCAGTTGCTTTGTCTTCATCCTCTTTTTTTTCCCATCACCATACAAGTATCCTACACTAGGAATAGGTTCTTTTCACATGATACACCACCAGTGTTTGATCTTTAAACAATAATACAGTCAACCCCCATAACAAGGTAGATACGTTCCGGTTTTATAAATCCGTTTTCTACGAGTCCAGCCAATCACAGCCCGGCACGTATGCAGTTTACGGACTACGGCTGTTTGAAAGATTTCATCCATAAAATTAATCGATTCTAGTGTAATTCCACTCAACATTTCCAAAATACATACCAGTATAATTTTTTTTTTGGGGAAAAATCCATATAAACTATGCTATAAACAAGAAATTGTAGGATTACTTACCGAGCGTGCACCGTTCGACTACGCCATTGATTAAGCTTGTTTTCGTTGTGGAGCTTGTCATCGAATGGCGCTCGAGTGCTTCCTGATAAATTATTTTTTTTTTTTACAAAAAATTCGCTGAACTTTGGAGACATCATTAACATAAATATAATTTTTATGCCCGTTAAATAATAAATGGTGTTTAGTAGGTTCACTGCTCGTTTAAACTCAACGATTTGTGCAATATCCGCTATTGGTCTAGATTCGACCAATCCTGTCGCGACACGAGTCAGCGATGACGTTTGACTGAATTATAGGAGTTTTTTTTAGCATTTTTGTACGAATACTGTCGCAATTTTTTCGCCGTGATATAGGAATCCGAACTATAGGAACCCGTGTTATAGGGGGGTCGACTGTATTGCCATTACTTTACTTAGCTCACATACAATTCTAAAACCATGAAAAAATATTTTATTCTTTAATGCTAATTAATAACTAGTAAATGTAGGCATGCAAACTAAAAATCTGGAATAACTTTATTTTTGTTTTCTACTGCACGTGAGTTAATTATTCTATTCGGAATATTTTTTTTTAATCGTTTGACTTTTAGAGATGAAAGGCCTAAAAGAAAACAAACAGAAGAATCATTGGTAATTTTTATAGTTGAATTTTGAACAAGAGTAAATTTTTACCGTGGAACATTTAAAACGTATGGGAATTCCAAAAAGCTTGATATGTGATATAAGTTAATCAAGAGTAGAAGAGAATAATACACAACTGACCAAAGCTGAAAAAAATTGGAAGTAAAAGGATTAAAACTATTACATGTGAAGCAGAACCAATGCCCCTGTTTGTAAGATGGGCCAACATATTTCTAAGCCGGACTGAAAGTTTACATTTATACAGAGTGCATGAAGAATTTCCCATTCTTGGAGAAGGTTGTTCAGATGGTTACGTGCTTTGTCCAGATTTTGCAACATATAACACTTATTATAAAATGTTTGCAGTATGCATCATTAAAATGGTTTTAATTATCCCTGTTTAAATTACAGTAAAACATGGTTTTCAGATAAGTATTAGTCTATAGACTGTTTTAGTTTTCTGACAGGTCGTATAACAATATTATGTAAGTCATTAAACAGAATAAATCTGTTGTTATATGTTGTTTGTGGACTGAAAACACACCTTAAAATTTAAAATAAAATATAATAATTAAAAATAAAACTTTCAGTTATTTAAATGAATATTTCATATTAATTGAGAGTAATGTAACAGTCAAATTGCATATCATCATGAATAATTGTTTCTTAATAATCATTTTATTATAAAATAAACAATAAATAAAGTTGACGTAGATATTTCTATTTTTGTCTACCGTTTAATAAATTTTTATAAATATATTTATTTAATTCTCTATAAAAATAACTAAATTTAGTTTATAGGCATAAAAAAGTTCCTAAATATAGGAAGTAATTATCTGTTGCAAATACTTTTAAAGGTTTAATTTACATATTATGTAAACTTTGTCAGAATGTTTTTTTTTCTCTTCATGTAATTTTAATTTATAAAAATGTTTAATCTGAGCTCCTGTTTGCAGTTTGTGTAATGTAAAAGTGCATGTGAATATAAAAACTAAATATATTTTTATTTTAGAAATATTTTCAAATTTCTTCTCTAATTTTACATTTCAAAACTAATTAAATTTATCCTCGTACATTATTATACGAACCATTGCTTTAACTACATAGTTTTTTTTTTATTTTGAAACCTATTTAGTTATAGCCTTTAATTATACTCGTATATACCTTTGGCTATCAATTTTTACAATTCAATGCTGAACACCAAACCGTTTAAATATATATATATATACATAGCAAAGCCAATTGTTTGTTTTCAAACTAAGATCGGAAAAAAACAATCAGCTTTCCTGTAGAAACGCCATACACACCAAAAGCCTCTAACATGACGACTGCCGCAATGCACAAACGGTATCGTATCTTCTCCTTATGTTTATAGACCTTGCTTGAAGTACCGAGAGCCAAGAATTTAACTTTACAAGGGAAGTATCAATCTTCCCAACTCATAACCGGATATTCACCAGTCGTTATTCAGAAACTTACGATTAGAAGAAATTTCTAGTTTAGACAAGAAATTGAATACTCTCTTTAACACCAGTATCATATTCAGTTTTAAAATTCCAAAGAATCAATTGTTCTGCGGGTCACTCGAAATTCCTTCGTCTTCATTCTGACTGAGACCATGTTTTACATTTCTGACAGAAGAATTTTAATTTAATCAGAATACATCAATAAACAAGTAAAATCATAAAATTAAAAAAAAAATTACGCAAGTAATGTTTAAATTAAATGTCGAAAGAATGTGTCAAGCTGCGAGAGAGTAAATAGCTAAATTTTTACGTTTCGTTACACGCTGACTTTTCGAAATTTCAGATGTTTTCATAAGTCTACACTTGAGTCCTTTTTTGAATGAAATATTTCATTTTCCTGTATTAAGTCTACGTGCAAGCTTTCACGACAGTGTCTCAGTCAGTCCGTGAGACAAAACTTCGTTATTGTATTAAGTCTCCAATCTTAATTTTACAAGAAGATGGTTTCTTTGCAATTAAAAGTTCAGTCAAGACAGACAGCGCTGAATATATGGCACTCAGAATCTGTAAAATAACAATTAAAAATTATTGTGTATATATAAAAAGATTTCTGTATTTAATGATTTTTAAAAAGAACTTATAAATAGATTTGCATAAATATAGTAACGATGTGTATACATGAAGTTTAATAAAGGGTTAGAGAATATACTGAAAGAACTTACACGAATGAAGAAGTTCTTTTTAGCATAAAAGAATCCGCCAAAGTTTATTCCAAATGGAGTTTTACCATATCTTTTCATAAAATTCAGCATCTTTTTAAAGAAATAAAACATTTTTAATATATTAAACTTATAGACCAATCGAAAGAATTTGAATTTATTTGTATTACCTTCATTTTGGTTTCTAACGGTAAATCAGCAGAACACAATTTATCGATTTCGATGAATTTTCCGTAAAGCTAGAAAAATTAAAATTAATATCATTAATCACTTATTTTTAAAAAACAACTTATTTATATTAATTAAATATTTATAATAATTATTATATATTAATCATTTGTGTATATTTCCACTATATGAATAATTTAAAAAAAAGGTTTTAATAAATAATGATTACTTGTTCAGTAGACTACTGAAAATTTTTTTCTTCTTAGTTGATGTTTTCTTCTAGCAGGAACAACAGCCATACAAAGTTGCTTGAATATATTCAATATGAATAATTCAA